GGGCCCAAGCCGGTGGCACCGGCAACCCCGGCTCCTTTAGTTACCTAAAGGCACGGGGTGGCGGTGCGAAGGCTTTGGCCCTTTCATGATTAAATGTAAAACGGCTTGCCATAGTCTGTCATTTTGACTAGTCCACAATTATGTTACAGATATCTTAAATGATAATACAAACTATCCAAAATGTAATTACGACTAGACAGAAAGACATTGTTGATATCTACAATGTTAATTTCCGGATAGGCAAACTTAGCTTTTAAATGTTAAAAGGGCTTGCCATACACGGACGTAGGCTCAGAGAGAGTCTCACCATATTCAAACCAAAATATCTGACTTCCTCTTGGTCTGAGCTAATGACTATGAATTAGAAAGTTGTCTGGCTTGAGGAGTACAATGTATATAACGATTTTTGTAACTGTAGATAAAAATAACAACCCACTTTTGTCAAAAGGTGGCGCTATTTAGTCCCTGCACCATGCCCGTTTCTGAAACTTTGCACATGTCTACTGGCTAATAAATGTGATGTGTCTGTTGAGTTTCAATGCAATTTCAAGCATGCTAAGAGTCTCAAAAGCATCCTAAAATAATTTCAAAGTTTGAAGCTTTGCCACGGCAACAGTTTAAAAGATATCAAGAATCCATTCACAGGTCTACATCTACCGTATGTTTACATTATACAGATGAAGTTTTCATCTGTTTTTCATCATTATACAGATGAAGTTTTTCATCTGTTTACATTATACAGATGAAGTTTTTCATTCATATAATTACATGCAAGCGTGTTTGATTTATGGACCAAGTTTTCGGACCCCGTTCCAGGGGGCGCTGTCTAGCCCCCCTGCCACGCCTAGGTACCATCTTCAGCCCGGGCCTGATGGCTGTGGGATATGACCTGTGTGCAAAGTTTCAAGAGTTTTCAAACCCGTTAAGGGCCTCAAAAGCCATTAAGAGCCTCAAAATCATCAAAAAAAAAAAGAATTTTAAAGTTTGATGCGTTGCCACGGCAACAGTATCAAAGATATCAAGAATCCATCACAGGTCTTCATCTGCCATGTATTTACATTATACAGATGAAGTTTGAAGCAAATCGGGTAAAAATAAGAGGTTGATTTCAAAGCATTTTGAAAGTGACACACTTCCTGCTGCCAGTTGGTTGGCGGCTATAACTTTGACTCGAAATAGTCACATCCATGTGATCGTCCTCTTACAGCGAACACACTGATGAAGTTTCATCAAGATCAGTTAATGTATGCTGAAGTTATAACACACTTCCTGTTTCACGTTTCTCGCCATAATTTCGTTTCTCGCCACGGCCAAACCGTTTGAGATATCAAAAATCCCCTCACAAAACTTTCATCCTCAATGTCTTGACTTCTTGCACACCGAGTTTGGTTGTGATTGGTAAACACATGCGTTGTAATTTGAATTTGATGTATTTCTCCTAGGACAACTATTCAAACAACCCATAATTCTCAACTTCCATTTTATTGTCGTAAAAACTTAGTTTTAATTGTTGAAAGTGACACACTTCCTGCTGCCAGTTGGTGGCGCTATAACTTTGACGTTTCTCGCCATAATTTCGTTTCCTCGCCACGGCCAAACCGTTTGAGAACACACTGCTGAAGTTTCATCAAGATCAGTTAATGTATGCTGAAGTTATAACACACTTCCTGTTTCACGTTTCTCGCCATGATTTCGTTTCCTCGCCACGGACAAACTGTTCAAGATATCAAAAACCCCACACAAGCTTTCATCCTCAATGTCTTGACTTCACGCTGACTGAGTTTCGCCGAATTTGGATCAAAGCTCTAGGAGGAGTATTTCAAATACCATTGCGAGCGTTTTACAAACAAACCTCAATAGCCGACTTCCTGTTGGGCTGGGGTAAAAAGTAAAAGCGCGAGGTATAGATGAAACGATGAGATCAACATGTGTACTGAGTTTCATATTATTACATGCAAGCGTGTTTGAGTTATGGACCGAGTGTTCGGACCCCGTTCCAGGGGGCGCTGACGAGCCGCCCTGCCACGCCCAGGTACCAGCTTCAGCCCGGCTCTGATGGCCGCGGGTTCTGACCCGTGTGCAAAGTTTCAAGAGTTTTTGAGCATGTTAAGGGCTCCAAAAGTGCCAAAAAGGTAGTAAAATAATAATAAGAATAAATAATCCCAAGGAAAACAATAGGGCCTTCGCCTTTTCAGGGCTTGGGCCCTAATAACATTACATTTATACACTAAAAAAATCAGACACTCATCTTACATTTATATTTACATACATTTAATTTACTTTAATTTTAATCCATTAAGTACAAGTGTGTGTACTTTACATTTGTGTGTGTTTGTGGTGGTGGTGATGATTAGAGAGTAGGTATGTCCGTTCCATAAATAAATCAATAAATAAAATCAGAAAGAGATCCCAGTTGTTTGTGTGTGTGTGTTGTGTGTGTGTGTGTGTGTGGGGGGGGGGGTTACTTTAGTTTCAGGTACGTTTCCATATATGTCGTGAAATAAAATAAGTCAAGTTTACCTTTCATTTCACTGGTCAGCGACTCGTCGAGCCAAATTCGCTCTACTGTGAGGTCACTTTGTGTGGATGTAATGAAATCACACCATTTTAAACCAGTAATGGCTAACTGGCCTTGCACTTGCCAAAAATACTTGTGATTTTTTTTTAGTTTGGCCTGACCACCAATGAACTTGACATGTGTAACCTCTGTTATACTGTTAACATCTGGGCATTTCACTTCAGCTAACCCAAAGGGTGGATTTGCAGTGGGATCATACACTTTGGCATCAGGGCTAGCACGAGGTAAGGCGCATCAGGATTCACAACGAATCCAGAAGGAGCAACACTGACATTGCAAAGGTCACTGTACTGTTGTAAAACTTCTGGCTCAAGGTCAATACCCCTTTTCATAGCAGGTGTTTGCCTTACCCCCTTTATGATCCTGGCTGCAAGAGCCTGACTAGATGACTCCCTCTAACGCTACAAACTTCGCTGAATCTACTGGAAGTTAGGCGGGGCTGTCGGACTTCCTTCCACAAAGGATTCTCTGACTGCCCCTTGTATTCTCTTCAATGATACTTGCACATTCACGGGTTAGTTCTAAACTCTGTAAGTGATAAAACTGCTGACAATTGGGGACAAAATGTAGATGCCGTTCTAATTCTAAGCCACTAATTAATGGAAGTTGTGGAAATGAGGGAGCTTCTGGATGCTTAATGATTTCTCGGGGTATTACTGGTGTGCACTGATAAGAAAGAACTGAACCTCGAGGGACTGGTCCAAATTTAGAGTCCACTAAAGTCAGTTCAGAGAGGCCGTGTAAGATTTTGCAAATGCCAGGTTGTGGCTGATGGCTGCGTAGTTGGGCTCCAACTGACAACACTGCCGGGTCAGGAAGGGGTCCTAAAACACAAGTAACAGAAACCATTCATCAGTTAATAACTGTCAATGTTTTACAAGCAACAGTGTAGCTAATCTTTTTTTTTTTTTGAACTTTTCTTTTATTTCCTATTATCAAGTGCAGTCATACAGTATGTTACGAGTAAACATTTGATGATACAATAATGATGATACAGTAAAGTGTCATGGACAAGTCTACAAATAGAGCATCAGACCATAGATATCTTCCATCCTAACAAGAATATAAGTGAGGGGAAAGATCCTTATCTCTGCAGTACCACATATACATTTTGGTAAATAGTACAGATTTTTTTTTTCCCTTTCCTTCCTTTACAATATATATGACCATTGGGAGAAAAAAAATGAAATAAAACCAAGAAAAATATAGTCTACATAATAGTCATATCAAATGAAAATGTTGGACAATTGAAGACCATTTATTTAAGAAAACCTCTACTTTCAGTTGTAATAATGCCGTTGTATACTCCATGTTATAAACATCCTGTATTCTATCCCTCCATTGTGCAACCGTTGGAGGGTGTGGCTTCAGCCACGAGGCTGTGATTGCTTTGTTTGCTATTAAAAGAAGGAGTCTCAGCAAACATTTTTGGTTATTCTCTTCAAGGTCAGCTGGCAGTATCCCTAGCACAAAGTATGATGGTTCAAGAGGTAGATCTATACAAAGACATTTTTTTATTTCTTTTTGTATATTTTGCCAATATTCTAATATCCTTGGACAGTCCCAAAATATATGGGTGTGATCTCCCACCAAGCCACAACCTCTCCAACAGCTATCTGAATTATTGCTCCATTTTGATGTTATGAATGGAGTTCTAAAATATCTCATTTTAATTTTCCATCCAAATTCCTTCCAATTAGGGCTACTGGTTACCCTGTGTCCTTGACTGAATGAAGTCTCCCACTGCTCGTCTGTAATTATTGTGTTCATTTCTAATTCCCATTTTTCTTTAATATCTAAATTATTTCCTTTAAATTCTTCTTGCAATATTTTGTAAATATGTGAAATGAATTTTGAGTTTACTTTTCCTTCTATTATTGATATGAAGAAACGCTCTATTTTTGTTGGTTGGGAGCAGAGCCTTTCCCATTCTAGATGATTTTGGAGGTAATGTCTAATTTGTAAATACCTAAAGAAATCTTGGTTCGGTAAATCATAATTCTCTTTGAGTTGTTCAAATGATTTCAAGGCTGCTCCGTCAAACAGTTGATCCAAAACCACTAGACCCCTTTCTGTCCATTTCAGGAAACTCTTGTCCAGCCTAGCTGGGGAAAACTCACAATTATTTGCTATCCTTATAGCTCTGGAAATAGTCATGGGAAGTTGTAATTTCTTCCTCACAATTGACCATATTTTTAAGGTGTTTCTACTCCATACATTAGTGATCTTCTTTTTACCCCATATGTCTTGGTTTAGGAATGGAATTAGTCTAATGGGAAATCTGGACATTCACTCTGCTCCATTCCGACCCAGACAGTGTCAATCTCTTGAGACATCCACGCAACCATTGCTCTGAGTTGGGCTGACCAATAATATGTTTTAAGGCTAGTCAAGTCCAGGCCTCCATTTTTCTTTGGGCAAAGTAGTCTTTTAAATTTTAGTCTGGGTCGCTTTCCTTGCCAAATAAATTTGGATAGCCATTTATCTAGTATAGTAAAGGTGGAGGCAGGAACGTATATAGGTAGTGATTGGAAGAGAAAGAGCAACCTAGGTAAAATGTTCATTCTTATAGTTTCTATTCTTCCTATCAAGGAGAGTGGAAGAATTTCCCATCTAGTAAGGTCCATTTTTATGCTACCCAGTAATTTCCCGTAATTGGCTTTAAAAAGTTTAGATAAGTCTGTCGTTATGATAATCCCCAAATATCTAAATCCTTGCGACCAATGGAAATCAAGCCTTTCTGACAGTTGGATTGGCCAATGTCCAACTAGCATCATTGCCTCAGATTTTGATTGATTAATTTGATAACCAGAAAGATCTCCATATTTTTTTAAGGTGTCTAGCAGTGCAGGGACAGAAAGAGCTGGATCCCTTATATAGGTCAGGATATCGTCTGCATAAAGAGATATCTTGTGTTCCTTATTCCCCATGTCTTTTATGCCTTTTATTTCCTCGTTCTGTCTTATAGATGCTGCCAGGGGTTCAATATTTATAGCAAAAAGTAGAGGACTAAGACAGTCTCCTTGCCTAACCCCCCTCTGTAGGTCAAAGAATTCAGAGCAACATCCATTGACCCTGACGCGAGATTTTGGATTTCTGTAAATAACTCTGACCCACTCTATAAATTTTGGGTGAAATCCCATGACTGATAGCGTTTTGTATAAAAATTCCCAATTTACAGTGTCGAATGCTTTCTGTGCATCAAAGCTTATTAACATTGATGTCTGTTTGTCTCTTTTGGCGCAAGTAATTATGTTTAGAGTTCTTATATTGTTGGCACCCTGTCTATTAGGAATAAATCCGGTTTGATCTGGCTTAATCAGAGTAGTAATATGTTTTTGAACTCTATGTGCTAAAATACTTGTCAGTATTTTCTGATCATTGCATATCAAGCTGATGGGTCTATATCCTTCACAGAGTGTTGGGTCCTTTTCTCTCTTTATGAATAACAGATATAATGGCCTGTGACCATGTCTCCGGAGGATTATTCTCAGAGAGAGAGTATCTAAATACCTTGGTTAGCACAGGTGCAAGATCATTTATGAAGCATTTGTAAAACTCTCCAGGAAGCCCATCGACTCCTGGAGATTTGTTACTTTTCAATCTTTTTATAGCCTCTCTTATTTCTGTTTCTGTAATAGGTGTTATCATCTGTTTAGATGTTTCTTTTGATAATGTGGGAGATTTAAACCAGTAAGGAAAGTATCAGTATCTCTTCCTGATGTTTGTACTCTGGGTTCTTTGTATAAATTTTGGTAGAATGATGCAAAGGCATCTGCTACTTCTTTGGGTTGAGATACTATTCTACTCAGTGTAGGATGAGAAATCTTGGACACAGTACGATTAGCTTGAGCTTTACGAAGTTGAAAAGCTAGAAGGCGGCTAGCTTTATTCCCCATCTCGTAATATCTTTGTTTAGAAAATCTTAAAGCCCCTTCAGCTTTATATGACAAGAGTTTATCCAAGGCTTTTCTTGTCTCCTTAAGTTTTGTAGCAATGTTACTCATTCTTGTGGTCTTGTGTTGTGTCTCTAAAAGCTTTATTTTATTTTCCAGATTTAGTTGTTCCTTGAGTCGCTGTCTTTTTATTTTTGATGATATCTCTATTATTTTTCCTCTCATAACTGCTTTTGCTCCCTCCCACAGAACTGAGGGATCAACTTCACCATTATCATTGATCTCAAAATATTCTTTTATGGATTTGCTTAATTCTTCTACTATTTCAGACTTATTCAGCAGTGATACGTTTAGCCTCCAATATCTGAAAAAAGAGTGCATGCCTAAATCTACTTTCAGCACAATAGGTGCATGATCACTCAGGGTTATAGGTTCAATGAAACAGTCTGTTACTTTATGTATGTATTGTTGAGGGAGACAGAAAAAATCAATTCTTGAGTAACTATTGTGGACATTAGAGAAGAAACTGAAATCTTTTCGTTTTAGGTTTCTAGCTCTCCATGGGTCAGTAAGACCCAATTCGGACATAAAGTTATTTAAAGTTTTTGTTTTGGAGCACTGAGATCCCTTCTCCATGGGCATCCTATCCAGCTTCCCATCCTGCACTGCGTTAAAGTCCCCTCCTATTATTAATACCCCTTTTGCATTGCCCGCAATGATGTTAGCGATCTCTCTAAAGAACATTGGATCAAACATGTTTGGAGCATATACGTTTAGTATGGATATTTCGTTTCCTCCAGCAGTCCCAACCACCATGACATAACGACCTGATTTGTCCTGTATCACCTTCTCTGCGTTAAAAGCCAGGTTTTTGTTGATTAAAATAGCCACCCCTCTTTTTTTCCCATTTGAGGCACTATATACAAAATTAACCCATTCCCTTCTTAGTTTTATATGCTCATTCTCTGATAAATGGGTTTCTTGTAATAATGCAATTGAGCATTGCATTTTTTTAAGCTGATTGAATATTTTCTTCCTTTTGATAGGATGGTTTAATCCACGGACATTATAGCTCACTACAATCAGTTTATCCATGTGAATAACAGTGTAGTATGATTTTAACATTTATATTAGACATTGCTTTTCCAAATGTAGACCCATACCCGTATTTACAAAGCATCTTATGTGACTGCTTAATTATAAATAACATAACATATAACTTCCACCATTGTGGAGAACAAGAACTTACAGATAGAACAAGAAAAAAGTAAACAACTTCCAAACACCCGACTGTTCTAGCAAGCATAAACTCAGTCTCAACAGGGACAGAGAGTTGTGACCGATCTCTCTGGGGATGCGCACATAGTGCTGTTGCAACTATCATCTAGCTTACGCGTGATGAATTGCCTGTAATATGAAGCGTCGACGGAAAAAAAAAAAAAAGAGAAAGAAAAATGAATGAGAAGAAGAAAAAAAAACGCTCGGTTGAGGAGAATCCGTCCTCTCTTATTAGTTATCTTAAAATAATAACACTAGCCAAACAAGTGTAACAGGGTCACTTGAATCGTTTTTTCTTTGTTTGTTTTTTATAAATCATTACTCACAGTTCAGAAATGTTTCAAATGTTCATCGATGGCCACCATGGAGAATGCTCTTCAAGTCTGCGTTGGTCATTGAATTAGCTCTGTTTGCCGTTGAAGCCTTGGTCCATTTGTTTTTCAAAAGTTCTGTTTGTAGTATCTCTCGTTCGTTCAATTGAACCTGGATACCCAGCTCTCCGAGCGTTGCGGCCGCGTCTGCGAGGGTCGTGAAAGTCTTCGTTCCAGATTTCAGGTGAATTTTCAGCTTAGCAGGGAATGGCGATTGAGCTTTAATATTCTTCTCTTTAAGCAATTTCATCACGTCTCTTACTTGCTTGCGTTTCTTCTGGATGTCGGACGTGTAGTCCTGGTCAAAGAAAATCCTCTGTCCGTTATATGGCACTCCTCCGCGATGTTTCCATGCTTCTTGAATTATCGTTTCTTTAATTCTGTAGTCCAGGAATCTGACGATAATGGATCTCGGGGGCTCGTTGCGTCTTTCGGTTTCATAGTCAACGAGCGGTGTGCTCTCTCTATATTTAGTTTGAGTTCTTCTGGTAATGTCAGCGACGTTCGGATGAGATCGTTTACGAAACTCAGCATGTCCTTGTTGGTTTCTTCGTCTTCTTTCACGCCATATATGCGGACGTTATTCCGTCTTGCTCTGGACTCTAGGTCTTCACATTTTGCAGACAGGCTAGCATCTCTTAGTAGCAAGTAATGAAGGGCTCGCTCGTTTCTTTGCGATTTATCTTCTGCATCACTCAGCCTCTGTTCATACTCACTCACACGCTGTTCTACTTTTGTCATCCTTTCATCTACTTCGGCTAGTGCGGCTTCTACTCTTGCTAAGGAATCTTTAGTATCTTTAGATGCTTCAGCGTGTTCCTTTCTTAGTATTCGCAGCTCGGCTAGCACTACCGCCATGTGCTCTTCTCCTCCATCGTCCTTTAGGTTCGGTTGTTCTTCTTTTTTCGATGATTTACCCTTCTTATCCGTATCTTTTCGGTTGCAGGCCATTTCGATGACTTATTTTGAGTATTTTTTTGCAAAAAATAAGGTTTGTAATTAATGTTTGGCTAGTTTTTACAAATTCTCCTCTGGGAGCTTAAAAATCAGGCTGCCGCCACAACCATGACGTCACAGGAAGTCAACAGTGTAGCTAATCTGATACAAAGAACTATCTGCATGTTCTAATTTTAAAACTGCGGATGTTATCGGACTTTCAGAAATAGTAATAATAATGAATAATCGGATTCAGGTTTAATCATAACGTAGTGCAGACATTATCTTAATTCCATAATGTGCTTAAACAACAATATTGCTGGCCATAAACTGAGACAGTGCTAGACGCGGCGCTAAGGATGTTTACATTACAACTAGTTGAAATGTTCCTCCCGTAAATATAATTCCCTTTCAAATGTGCATTCTGATTAACACATACATTCATTTCCAAACTAACCTGACGAAGTCCAGTGCTCATCTTCTCATTAACAGCGTTTTTCTCTTATTGATCATATTTCATACCGGTTGAATTTACAATCCTAAACTGAATTTTACCAATTTTTACCAAAATTGTTAAAATATGGCTGATTTTTGGTTACCATGATTTAACTATTAACTTGTTGTTTTATTTTGTTTTTTATTTGTAGTAAAACCATGGTCTATCATCATAAGAGCGCAAAAAAAAAAATGAACGATCCAACAAATTGAATTCATCTTAACAGGCTAACAGCGTGACGAATTTTGGAATAAACGTGTGAATTACAAACAGTGAAATGAAAAATGACTGAAATATTTTATACAAAAAAAATATTAATTTTGATCTTTATCATCAATGCTCATACACACTGCAGGTCACTAGTGTGGTCACTATTTAGATGAGCACTGACGTGGGGTGAAATTTTCACGCATGTTTAAGAGCCACGGTTTATTTTAGATTAAAAACCTACAAGTTCCTTTGAGTTTGAAAAATCATGTACACAGTAATCATCAAAATATCTCTTCTCCTGTCTCTTAAAATGAACACCCACAGGATGATTTACAAATCTGGACATTTTCAGAGGCGTTTATTCAACTAGATGTTAACAAAAGCACATTGAAAATACATAACCGGAAGAATCGATACACTGCTTCGAGCAATCCCAGTAATCAATTCTGCCGTGATAAAAGTATATAAGTAAATTACCGTAATTAAAACTTACCAGCGTAAGCGCGATACAGAGTAGATTTGACACTACTGCGTCCTAGCGCCTTTGGCTTTCGTACCACGAGTTCATCCGTGGGTTCGGGACGAATCCCCTGGATCAACACAAAAAGAAATTAAATTCAGTTGCAAATCTGAGAGAGTATCAGTTTAATTCAGCAAACAAGCAATATTGTAGGTGTACATCCTATGCAGGCAACCGCTGCTCTGCAAAATAGAAGGAAACAAATGTATACTGAAATGTGATGTGTGAGTAAATCTAGAATTGCATGTATGGCTATATCTGAGGGACCCAGACAAATTTTATATTATCATGTAAACAATTCATATGGATGAAGTGTAGGATATGGAGACACTGTGCAGAAACATCTACACCAGAATCAGTATTCCAACAGTGTGCACTTACAAACTTTAAAGGCACAACTTGCATCAGACAAACTTACCTGTGTCCTTGGACGGTGCCATTGTAACGGAGGCCAGCTAGTAGTTGCTGTGCGAGTAAACCTCACTCCCCGATCTCAATAAGCGCTCTAGCGACAGACGCTAGAGGCTGCAGTCTTTAGCCTCCTTGCTAGTGCGCCTGACTCTCATGCCGGAGACCCAGGTTCGAGGCCAGCTCGGAGCGGGTCGAGTTGGACCCGGGTGTGAGGGGTTACATTGGTGCCGTGACCCGGATGAGAGTGAGGTTTAGGGGGGTGAGTGTAACGGAGGCCAGCTAGTAGTTGCTGTGCGAGTAAACCTCACTCCCCGATCTCAATAAGCGCTCTAGCGACAGACGCTAGAGGCTGCAGTCTTTAGCCTCCTTGCTAGTGCGCCTGACTCTCATGCCGGAGACCCAGGTTCGAGGCCAGCTCGGAGCGGGTCGAGTTGGACCCGGGTGTGAGGGGTTACACCATGATTGAAGCACACCGGTGCAGGACAGTGGGGTTGGCACAATTTTCAGCCCCATGGTGCTGTAGTGAGCCGTTTGATACAGGAGTGCAACAACATGGTTGCATAAAGCCATTCCAGCAGCACACGAGCAGGAGCATCCATTTAACTCCACAGGTCTAACAGCATGCAGCACAATCTAGAAATGGAGAACATTTACTTAAGGGAAAGTTTGGATGTTTAGCCTGTACAGTAATTAGCATTTATTTGACACTAGGAACATTATTGTAAAACTAGGTTGAACAAAATTAAGGCAACAGCCGAACAAAAAAACAAAAGTTACTGATCTGCAACAGCAGATATATGGAAAAAGAAAAAGAGCATCTGCAACAGCAGAAGAAAGAAAAACAATGAACAAATGCACCTGAACCTTTGTAGGTCTGAAACCATGCTCTATTCACTACACATTACAAGTTTGGGGTAATTTGGTACTGTAGCACTGTCTGGATCCAAACTGTAAATCTGATGAAATCCACCAAGGATCAGAAAGATTAGGTACTATCTACATGATGTCCTGTTGATAAACAAAAGACTACAGAAAGCCAGTAACGCATGTTGACGAGTAAGTTAGGAACTAGAGCATGATTTCGGCCTGAACTTCCTGACAATCAATGTAACCTGAAGTGTATGTGGCTCTTCATTCTTTCGCATAGAACGGTAGCAGCTCGCCTGCACTACCACTTCCTCACTCACTAAATCTGACACTGCATTAAAAGGGGGGGAAATAGTCACACATCATACTGAAAAAAGATTAAATGTTTAACCACATACAACTTAACCTTTGGCTGTGATTCTTAAACTGCCGCAACGGCATTTCGGAACGTTAATGTAGCCCAAGTGATCATTAAAACATCGGGGCCCGGGCCATTAACGTTAGCTAGCTAGAAGTTACCTCCTCAGGCAAAAGTTTAATGACCACTGACACTGACTGACATACTCAAGTGAAAAAAAGTCACATAACGTTATATTGTTCGAATTATTTAAATAGGATACGGTGTATTTGAAATGAACCTTTCTAAGCTGACGACGAATAACTAGCTTACTAAACATAACAACAAGCTAGCGATAGCTCGCCAACAGAACAGAATTCAAGCTACTTACCTCTATAATTGAAGACAAAATTCTCGTAGAAGAACTTGTATCCTTTCTCCAACTTGGATGATTTTACCTTTGAGTGTCCTTTGAGTCCAGCGATAACAGGCAGCCATTTCGAACGCAATAACCGGAAGACGCAGTACACTGCTTCAGCTATTTTTTAAAGGTTACTTCCGGCGTTCTATTTTGATGCGATAAAGGCCTATAAGCACAGCTCATTATTTCCAACCGGGACGAAAGAAATGATTGGCTGGGCGACTTGTCACTCTCCCTCGCTACCATGGTTACCAGCACTGCTGTATAAGAGTAGCCCACATGCACGCACACGTTTGCTTGAGGAGTGGAAGAGGCACGGAAGCTAGGAAGAATCACAATTATGGCAGAGAAAGAGCCGTCAAAATTCCCAGTTACCTGCATATACAGTCAGCGAAGGAAAACCAGGCAAAAAAGGAAGACAGTATTTGAAAAGGCTATGACCAAAAAGTCTTTGGATAAAGCAAGAAGTCAGACGTGAGTCAATATCGTCGGGGCTTTCCAGCCGTGGCGACAAAACTGACAACCAGTAGCTGAAAAGTAACCCCAACAGTGCTTTCGTGGAAGAAATGTAAAACACCGTATATGTTATGAATCGTACACGAAATTCAACTGATGGTAACGGGATAACGTGTATCAATGCAACCTGTTTTTAGTTTTGCTGTTAGTTTTTATGTTACTAGCTTGTCACTGAATCAAACTCAATATATTTTAAACTTTACCATTACCAGTATCAATATGCTAGCTTGATAGTGAGTACTACCAGCCATGTTAGTTGTTTATATTAATAATGATAAAGTTAGGCATTTTTAGGGCCCGAGCACTAACAGTGCGAGGACCCTATTGAATCTGTTAGGGTTATTTTTAGGGCCCGAGCACTAACAGTGCGAGGACCCTATTGAAACTCTTAGGATTATTTTTAGGGCCCGAGCACTAACAGTGCGAGGACCCTATTGAAACTGTTAGGGTTATTTTTAGGGCCCGAGCACTAACAGTGCGAGGACCCTATTGAAACTGTTAGGATTATTAGGGCCCGAGCACTAACAGTGCGAGGACCCTATTGAAACTGTTAGGGTTATTTTTTTATTTTTAGGGCCCGAGCACTAACAGTGCGAGGACCCTCTTGAAACTGTTAGGGTTATTTAGGGCCCGAGCACTAACAGTGCGAGGACTCTATTGAAACTGTTAGGGTTATTTTTAGGGCCCGAGCACTAACAGTGCGAGGACCCTATTGGAACTGTTAGGGTTATTTTTTTTAGGGCCCGAGCACTAACAGTGCGAGGACTCTATTGGAACTGTTAGGGTTATTTTTAGGGCCCGAGCACTAACAGTGCGAGGACCCTATTGAAACTGTTAGGATTATTTTTAGGGCCCGAGCACTAACAGTGCGAGGACCCTATTGAAACTGTTAGGATTATTATTATTATTTTTTTTTTTTCTTTTTTCTGCAAAGTAAGTGCCATTTTCGGGGCCACAACATGCTCAAAAACTCACCAAATTTGGCACTCATGTCAGGACTGGTGAAAAATTTCGTATTTTGTGGGTTTCGCGGATGGGCGGGGCAAAATGGGTCGCTAGCGCCACCTAGAAAATTGGAAAAAATTAGCCCCTCGTCCACGTTCAACCTACATGCACGAAATTTGGTGGGGACGTGTATCCTTTGAAGACGCACAAAAATGCCTCAAGAACCCTTACCCTAAACTCGACAGGAAGTCCGCCATTTTGAATTCGGCGACCAAATTGGGACGATTTACACACTCCGTACTTTAACGAACTCCTCCTAGGGATTTAGTTGGATCGACTTCAAATTTCTGCTGTACCTTCTAAAGGCATTGACGATGTAAAGTTGTGCTATCTGCGCATTTTCGTCGATGGGTGTGTCCGTGGCGTCGATAATTCGCCATGAAACAGGAAGTTGTAGTAACTTGGCTGTAAATGCCCAGATCTGCACGAAATTTTACACATTTGACAAGAGTCCCGCCCTGAACAAATCTACATGCCGACTTTCAACCACAGTCATAGCGCCACCTGCTGGCAACAGGAAGTGAACTTTAACGAAGCAGCCCCCGCCGCATGTTTGACCGACATGCACAAAATTTCTGTGGTACATCTACCATGTCCAGACGCACAGAAAAGCCTCTTGGAGCAATGCCCTAAACTCGACAGGAAGTCGGCCATTTCTAATTTTACCGCCATTTTTGGATGATTTACTCATTACGTACTTTAACTAACTCCTCCTAGGGATTTAGTGGGATCCACTTCAAATTTCTGCTGTGCCTTCTAAAGGCATTGACGATGTAAAGTTGTGCTATCTGCGCATTTTCGTCGATGGGCGTGTCCGTGGCGTCGATGTTTCGCCATGAAACAGGAAGTTGTAGTAACTTGGCTATAAATGCCCAGATTTGCAGGAAATTTTACACATTTGACAAGAGTCCTGCCCTGAACAAATCTAAATGCCGACATTCACCCACAGTCATAGCGCCACCTGCTGGCAACAGGAAGTGACCTTTAACGAAGCAGCCCCCGCCACTTGATTGACCGACATGTACGAAATTTCTGTGGTACATCTACCATGACCAGACGTACAAAAAAGCCTCAAGAACCCATACCCTAAACTCGACAGGAAGTCCGCCATTTTGAATTTGGCGCCCATTTTGGGACGATTTACACACTCCGTACTTTAACGAACTCCTCCTAGGGATTTAGTCGGATCGACTTCAAATTTCTGCTGTGCCTTCTAAAGGCATTGACGATGTAAAGTTGTGCTCTCTGCGCGTTTTCATCGATGGGCATGTCCGTGGCGTCGATGATTCGCCATGAAACAGGAAGTTGTAGTAACTTGGCTGTAAATGCCCAGATCTGAATGAAATTTGACACATTTGACAAAAGTCCCGCCCTGAACAAATCTACATGCCCGCATTCACCCTAAGTCATAGCGCCACCTGCTGGCAACAGAAAGTGACCTTTAACGAAGCAGCGAACCAAATTCACAGCCACACCGGCTGAGCCGCAGAATATGCAACGCGGCCGCCTCACACCCCAATGCGCTACAGGTGCGAGGGCCCGCCCATCGCTGCTTGCAGCTTTAATTTTTATTTTTTTTTTCTGCAAAGTAAGCGCCATTTTCGGGGCCGCAACATGCTCAAAAACTCACCAAATTTGGCATGCATGTCAGGACTGGTGAAAAATGTCGTATTTTGTGGGTTTCACGGATGGGCGTGGCAAAATGGCACGCTAGCGCCACCTAGAAAATTGGAAAAAATTAGCCCCTCGTCCACGTTCAACGTACATTCACGAAATTTGGTGGGGACGTGTATCATATCAAGACGCACAAAAAAGCCTCAAGAACCCATACCATAAACTCGACAGGAAGTCCGCCATTTTGAATTTGGTGGCCATTTTTGGACGATTTACACACTCCGTACTTTAACGAACTCCTCCTAGGGATTTAGTCGGATCGACTTCAAACTTCTGCTGTGCCTTCTACAGGCATTGACAATGCAAAGTTGTGCTATCTGCGCGTTTTCGTCGATGGGCGTGTCCGTGGCGTCAAAGATTCGCCATGAAACAGGAAGTTGTAATAACTTGGCTGTAAATGCCCAGATCTGCACGAAATTTGACACATTTGACAAGAGTCCCGCCCTGAACAAATCTACATGCCTACATTCACCCACAGTCATGGCGCCACCTGCTGGCAACAGGAAGTGACCTTTAACGAAGCAGCCCCCGCCGCTTGTTTGACCGACATGTACGAAATTTCTGTGGTACATCTACCATGACCAGACGTACAAAAAAGCCTCAAGAACCCATACCCTAAACTCGACAGGAAGTCCGCCATTTTGAATTTGGCGACCGATTTGGGATGATTTACACACTCCGTACTTTAACGAACTCCTCCTAGGGATTTAGTAGGATCAACTTCAAATTTCTGCTGTACCTTCTAAAGGCATTGACGATGTAAAGTTGTGCTATCTGCGCGTTTTCGTCGATGGGCGTGTCCGTGGCGTCGATGATTCGCCATGAAACAGGAAGTTGTAGTAACTTGGCTGTAAATGCCCAGATCTGCACGAAATTTTACACATTTGACAAGAGTCCTGCCCTGAACAAATCTACATGCCGACATTCACCCACAGTCATAGCGCCACCTAGTGGCAACAGGAAGTGTCCTTTAACAAAGCAGCGAAAAATTTCACAGCTGCACCGGCTGAGCCGCAGAATATGCAACGCGGCCGCCTCACACCCCAACGCGCTACAGGTGCGAGGGCCCGCCCATCGCTGCTTGCAGCTTTAATTTTTTTTTTCTTTTTTCTGCAAAGTAAGCTCCATTTTCACGGCCACAACATGCTCAAAAACTCACCAAATTTGGCACGCATGTCAGGACTGGTGAAAAATTTCGTATTTTGTGGGTTTCGCGGATGGGCGTGGCAAAATGGCTCGCTAGCGCCACCTAGAACATTGGAAAAAATTAGCCCCTCGTCCACGTTCAACCTACATGCACGAAATTTGGTGGGGACGTGTATCATATCAAGACGCACAAAAAAGCCTCAAGAACCCATAGCCTAAACTCGACAGGAAGTCCGCCATTTTGAATTTGGCAGCCATTTTGGGACGATTAACACACTCCGTACTTTAACGAACTCCTCCTAGGGATTTAGTCGGATCGACTTCAAATTTCTGCTGTGCCTTCTAAAGGCATTGACGATGTAAAGTTGTGCTATCTGCGCGTTTTCGTCGATGGGCGTGTCCGTGACGTTGATGATTCGCCATGAAAGAGGAAGTTATAGTAACTTGACTGTAAATGCCCAGATCTGCACGAAATTTTACACATTTGACAAGAGTCCCACCCTGAACAAATCTACATGCCGACATTCACCCACAGTCATAGCGCCACCTAGTGGCAACAGGAAGTGTCCTTTAACGAAGCAGCCCCCGCCGCACGTTTGAGCGACATGTACGAAATTTCTGTGGTACATCTAACATGTTCAGACACACAAAAAAGTCTCTTGGAGCAATGCCCTAAACTCAACAGGAAGTCGGCCATTTCGAATTT